CATTATTTTATCATTGAGGTAAAGTCAGTATAAAATTATTTTAATTCGAAAATAATCATACGTGTGTTAAAAATAGTTTATATTTCTTAAACTTGTAAGTGCAAAATTCGAACTGTTTTCTACATATTATTATGTGGTTCACTTACAGTAAAAGTTGTAGCGGTCTCACGCAATTCTGGCTTTAACTACCCGTTTCATGATTTTTCAGGATGCCTTAATGACAAATTTTTTGGTCGTTGAGGTACAGCTTGCACCACGCTGATGAGGGCCAACAGCCCGAAACGCGTCCGTGGTTAGCTTTTCTTGATTAATCAAGAATGGGTATTTGGCCAATTCTGGAATAATTAAAAATCAACGAGAATAGTTGATATTTATTCCGATAGATGGCGCAAGCCATCAGCAGCTTTCAGTTGCACGATAAGTAGATGCCTTTTTCTTAATATATTAAAAGCAATTACTAATTATTACTCACAATGATTATCATGGCCTGTACCACGTGTACTAGGGATAATACAGGAAATGTTCAATGTTTGTGGGACAATAAATGAATTAAGGAACGCTATCCAAACACAGGTAAATAAAACACTTGGGCAAAGGCCGTGCGCAGCTGGACTATTTATTCAGTTAATTATATCAACAGCACATGTTTCTTAACTACAACAACACCGTTAGATAATCTAATTAAACAATATATCTTCTAAAAAGACAAGGGTCGCCTCTCCCGTCAAAATAGACGTCAAAACTAAACGCCATCTATTGACCATCGCCGCAAACTAGCGGCCTCGGGTCGTGACAAAGCCACAACACCAGCTTTAGCAAACTGAAAATCGTCCACCTAGAGACAATGGTTTCGGGCTAATGGCCCTCGTCAGTCTAGGGCGGACTTTATTCCATGAGATCCAGAAGGGATCTAATGGAATCTTGACAATCTGCCAAAGAGGTGTTTAGGTGGCATAGTGGCTGGGCCAAATCTATGGCTAAAATATAGATGGAAAGGTCACCGACCCGAGGCCGCTAGTTTGCGGCGACAGTCAATAGATGGCGTATAGTTTTGAAGTCTATTTTGACGGGAGAGGCGACCTTTGTCTCATCAGATCAATATCCTGCCGGCAAAAATTCCATCAATATGTCTTCTTTTATTACCATTTTTCATGACAAATTCACCCTTTTACATTCATAGACAAAACTTGAGGAAGTGGAAAATTTTGATATCACCGTTCATCTGTTTTTTTTTTTTTTTCCTTTTGCTTGTTTTTGGTTTTTTAAGGAGAAAGAGTAGAAGATCGGTGAATGAGTGGTTTAAACCATTGGTTTTCGACCGCTACGAGCCGGGATCAAATCTCGTATTGGGCAATTTTTCTAATTTAAAAAAAAAAATGCTCCAATAGTTCTCGATTCTTGCAAAAGTTCAACCCCACCAGCGAGTGCGATTAACCAAAAACTGGGCTCTGGCACATTTATAAGTGCAAATTTCGAACTCTGTTTTTCACATGTAAAGACATGTGATGCACTTACAATTAAAGCAGTTGCCAATTTCTACTTTCCATGGTTATCATGGCTTTGTATTACGTGTATTAAAAATAGAGATTTATTTCAAAACAAGTATAAAAAAAAATAAATATAGATCGTAGAGAAGAGATTTATGTTTATCGGCTGTGTACGTTCTCAATACGAAAGGGCTAACATTTCAAACAGGACATAGAATTGGATCTGGAAATGTTTTTGTCGCATTTTTAACCAAAAAAATTTGAAATTAACAAAGAATTGGGTAAAAAAAAAAGAGAATATTTTCTCCCAGATCGGTTTTTCTTCTTCTATAGAGAGATTATCATTGTGTTAAAAACAAGTATCTCAAGAAGAAGCCGATGGTATACCAGATAAAGAATTGGCACCGTCAATCACATCTGTAAGGTGACAGATGATGGCCAATAAATTAAATAGAGGAAGTGATTTGTCCAATTGGAAGTAAAGAAGAAGAAGATCGAGGAAAGAATGTTGAGCACAATTTAGCAGCTGGTCGATAGCAGACGACTTTGGGAAGTTTCTGTTGGTTCCCCTTCAATCTGATTGGACAACACTCCCAGTACCATACGACAGGTCAGTCCATATTTCTATAACCACGACTCAAGATCAAATCTCACATTGGAGACTTTTTTTTTTCTTTAAAAAAAATGCTTTAGTTTAATGTTATTCAAATAGTTAAGATATAATGTTTTAATGATTATATTATCGTGAAAAAAAATAGTACACATATGATATTGTACTGGGATAAGGTGCATAAATTAAGAAAAAGGCATCTTCTTATCGTGCAACTGAAAGTTACTAAAACGAGAATAGTTTATATTTATTCCGATAGATGGCGCAAGCCATCAGCAACTTTCAGTTACACGATAAGGAGATGCCTTTTTCTTGATTATATTATCATCTTTTTTTTTTTTTTTGTCTATTCCAGTTAGTAACTTTTCACTTGCCTTGTTTTTGCTTCACGCCTAATCCCATAATCTAGCAACCACACATGCTCTAATCTTACAAACCAAACGATAAACATATTTCTTAAAAAAAATATTCTTCAAAGGCCCCAGATTCTTCTGAAATTCCAACACCACCAGTGAGTGCATGTAACCAAACAGGGCTATATTACTCTTCTAAAGAGACATGGGTCGCCTCTCCCGTCGAAACAGACATCTAACACCAGACGCCATCTATTGACCGTCGCCGCAACTAGCGGCCTCGGGTCGGTGACAAAGCCACAACACCAGCTTAGGCAAACTGAAAAGCGTCCACCTAGAGACCATGGTTTCGGGCTAATGGCCCTCGTCAGTCTAGGGCGGACTTTATTCCATGAGATCCACACGGAATCTAATGGGATCTTGACAATCTGCCAAAGAGGTGTTTAACTGGCAAAGTGGCTGGGCCATATCTATGGCTAAAATATAAATGGAAATTTTTGCCGGTAGGAAATTGATCTAAAGAGACAAGGGTCGCCTCTCCCGTTAAAAAAAAAAAAATGTTCTCATCTATATATTAATCTTGTAATGTAAAATTCTAATTGCTCTCTACATGTATAGATTATTTTATGGAATATAATTAGACTATATAACAAAGGACTGGCCTAGATACTCTGACATCTAAACATCTTTCAGGAAAATTCTTATGATTTTATGACTCGCTCGCAGATTTCACGATATCAAATCCTACTCTGTACTGACGAGAGATGTTATCTCGAAACCGTGTTCTCCAAGTAAACATTGAAAATTTTCCCATATATATATCCATATTTGACACACACATAGATTTAAACATTTTAATGATTTAAAAAAAAGTATTAAAAATTGCATTTATATTGTTGCACCAGGCTGCGGTTTGGCAGATCCTTCAGTCTTGATTCTCTCCTCAAACGCGTCTTGCATCTTTCAAGAACGTGTCTCAACCATCCTACAAGGTTAAAACAGTCAAATATAAGACAACTATATTTTTAGGTTACACCTAGAATATCTCTTTATTTATCTCAACAAAGTTTAAAGCAGGTGGGGTATTCAGTGTATCAAAATACATATTTTTATAGTACATAATATTTTATAGTAAAAATCTGTTTTATAAAAATAAATAAATATATAATTTAAATTTTAAATATATTAAAAATAATATTATAAATAATTTTAAAAATACGCGCATTAATCATGATGCAACAATATGAAGAGAACTTTTTAAAATATTTATAAAGAATAATATAATAATAATTTATGTTTTATCTATAAACAACGCAAAAAAGCAAAGTTTTACTGCTCCAATATGGAAGGATTTAAGAATAATTCTGATAATAAGGAAATAATAAGATTGCAGAAGATTTTATCGAAGTTTTTGTTTATCGTTTGGTTTGTAGGATTAGAGCATGTGTGGTTGCTAGATTATGGGATTAGGCGTGAAGCAAAAACAAGGCATGTAACAAGTTTCTAATTGTAATAAACAAAAAAGATGGTAATATAATCTTTTAAAATTTTAACTTAACTATTTAAATAACATTAAACTATTATGGGAGTATCGATTAAAAGAAAATTTACCGAAAATAGCTGATGTTATGCAACTAATAAAGACTCCATATTTACATACTTGAGAAAAAAAATCATCATAATAACGAATATTTTTCTTTTACAAAAAATAATTCTACTATCCTTTTTATTTTTATTATTTCCACAGCACTGACCAGGAGTCAAGATAACAAATGTAAATATCTTTGTTTACTTTTACTGTTGTTATTTATTGAAGTTGTAAATAAAAATATGTAAATAGACTCACCATTCGCTACACTTTTTTAGAGAAAACTTGTAACCTTTTTGAAAAATAAAGTAATTATTTTATAAAATAAAAGGATTTAAAAGCGCGAATGTTTCTTTTATACATAAAACGAACTTCTACTGTCCTTACTGCGATGAAAAAATATATTGGGAGGGCTTGGCTCATCAGTGGTGAACCCTCCCAGCGGTTTCGCCAGTTTAATCTACCAGACCGCTTCTCAGAGCTCTAATTCTGTATTGGATCATTCTGCTTTTATATGCTACACTGAAGGATGGAATCTTAGAAATGGTTTTCAGGTAAACTATGGACAAAAGCTTATGTGCTACATGTGTATATATTAATTAGATTAAAGCTTTTATTATTAGAATTTGCCTCGTTTAACGCTTCTACATGTAGGTGTAATATAAATTTTGCTATCTAAATTTAATCATATCAAAATCGCTAATTTAGAACAATATTGGTGTTAAGATATTTTCATTTAAATTGAAAATAGAGAGAATATATATATGTGATGATTTATAACCATGGAATTATTGTAATATATCCAAATATGTAAAACGACATTTGAAAATTATCCCGCATGTGTTTCTTTTGAACGAAAAATCGAAACTTATTTTAAGGAGAAATAACGATTATTTCTATCCTTAGGGATGAAGTATGAAAGGATGAATTGTGAAGAGTAATGATGAACGGAAAAATAAAAGTGTCCAGGGATGGGAATCGAACCTACAGTGCTCCGCTTCCCGAGCAAATGCCATGTCCACTAGGTTATCCTGGACATATTTTTCTGTTCGTAAATATTATATAAAGTTATTTTTATACAATATAATGCGGCCTATAATTGTAGAACAACATTTGAAAATATCCCGCATGTGTTTCTTTTGAACGAAAAATTTTCAAATGTCGTTCTACAATTATAGGCCGTATTATATTGTATTAAAAAATATCTAAATATGTGATAGCACATGTGTCACCACATGAATGTAAATAACTTGCTATTTTTACTTCAACTATGAACATCAAATAACATCAATCTGTACCGCTTAAGACTGTAATAAAGTATAGCAACTGTACAGATAGAAGGGGAATGGAGAATTCAGGAGAAACATAAGCCTGAAACTATTCAGGCCTAGTACGATTGGGAAACGAGGCTTCAGAAACCCAGTCCAAGTTTTACGAGGTCATGGCACTCTTGGCTGATGTAACTTCCCCCCCCCCCCCCCCTGATTACGTCATATATATATGTGTGTGTTATATTAAAATATTATTTTATTTTATAAATTATATTTCATAGATTCAAATACTCTGCTAAATCGACCGCAAGAAATCACGCTGCCCCTATAAAAACTCATTGTTGTTGTTTCCCGATGGCCGGCTCAAAGATTCTGTACATTATGTAAATAAGTTTTCCATTTTTTTATTCTTACGCCTTAAGCCAGGCAGTATTTTTATTAAATTATGTTTTATATATTCCTTTAGTTCAATTAAAGCTATTTCTAATCTTCACTATTTTTAGTATTATACTTTCAAGATTTCAACCACGATTGCATTACCATTGCATAATCTAAACAATTCCAAAATCAAGCAGAAAATGTTTTTATTTTATAACATATATATATTATATAATCTAAAAACTCAAATATTTCTATATTTTAAAATATATATTTTTTATTTTATTCATTGATAATTTTACTTTTGTTATCATCGTTTTTAGAAAGACTTTCAGTTTTGTTGTATAGTTTTGTTGTAAATATGCGTAGTTAACATATCTATCCTTTTAAATCACTAATATAGGATTAACTTTATAAATTCTATATAATGGGAAAATAACTAATGTGTAATAGTTCCTCAAGTAATTGAAAATAAAAGCCACTTGATGGTAAATAATTATCTTTTTCTTATCACGACTGCACCTTCAACCCTTTATCTTATCGATCCTTTGTCTTATCAACCCTTTATCTAACAACAACAAATTATTTATAACATATATACGAGTATATACACTTTGTATGTAGTCCCCTAATCATAAAAAATAGTTAGGAAGAGACTTTATTTCAAGCTACCTTTTCCCTAAAAAAAAATAGAATCAAATTTATTATTAGCTCTATTATATACTTTCAAAGTTTTTAAAAACAATTTTTTAATATAAATTACGATATATAAATAAAAGATAAAATATTTTATTTAAATCTTAAATTCCCTATTTATTTTCCAATCGATTTCATTTTTTAGGCGGGAAAATACAATTCAGGGCAGACGATAATACCCTATTGTTTGATAATTAATTTACTTCGAATTTTTATCTTTAGGGAATAAAATAAATCTCTTTTATAATCTTTAACTACCCCATTTTTTAAAATTAATATTAATTAATTTATATTCATTGTCATATATATTTATCTTTTTTAATTAGATAGTAATCAATAAAATTTAATTTTCAAATATTTATTTTAAAAATTAATACCGAAGATTTTATAAGGCAATAACACGCCATCTATATAAAAGAAATAAAAGCATTAAAGCACTACTTTTTCTTTTACACATAAAATAAAAATCTACTATCCTTACTGCAATGAAGGTGTATCAATATTGCATATATAAGCAGAATCGTTTAATACCGTATTAGACAATTGACAATTTAAACAATTTTAGTGATTCTTTTAATCAAATTTTACAAAGATGAAAAAAATAAAAGAGTAGAAGGGTATATAAAGTGTAGGGGAATATATATATATAGTTGTGTACAAATGTCTTCAGTAAGGAAGGTTTCCCCACCTTGAGAGAGTTCTCCTCCAGACAAGGTCTTCACTCCTCAGTTCCACACCGAGGAAGTACCTATAGATGCGTGTCTTGGCAGACGTCAGGATGGCCAGGGCGTCATCGTCTAGGCCATGCCCGAAGACCCAGGCCTGTAGCTCAGGGGGGATGATGGTAAATGCCTCCCGGATGAGAGACCTGATGTAACGGCAGGACCAGTACCGGTGAACCAGTGACAGGTCGCCGGACCCACAGGCGATGCAAGACTGTTGTATTACTGTATTAGAGCTCTAAAAAGCGGTCTGGTAGATTAAACCGCTTGTAGGGTTCACCACTAACAAGCCAAGCCTTCCCAATATTTTTTTTTCATATCAGTAAGGATAGTGTTTGAAGTTTATATGTTAATTTTATAATTATTGTTATTTTTTTAATTCATAGAAGCATTTTTCTGGCAGACATATTAAAATTTTTATCATCATCATTTTTTTTTATTATTATTGTTTTTTTTTATTCCTTTGTTATTTATCAAATCATTTTGTGATTGTAGTTTCTTTTTTGTTTTGTTCCTTTTCAAGCAATAAAATACATATAGAACCAAGGTGTAATATTCAATTCAAGCATATGGAACCAACATTGATTCATTTTTAAAACAAAGCAAAATCATAAGCTTATATAACTTTCACTTTTTCATACAGATAGTATAAGTTTGTTTTACGTGTAAATGAAATATTCATGCTTTAATAGCTTCATTTCATTTATAACCCATTTATTCCAGGAATTATAGATACCTTTCTCAAATCAAGAATGAATGTTCTGAAAAACGAAGCAAATAATACTTTCTTAAGCTTTTTTCCCCCAAGAAATCCCTAAATACTTTCGTCCAATTTTTTATAATACACAATTTGTTACAAACCACGGAAATTTCAAAAGTTTTTAAATTAGAATAAAGACAGTGGAGGATTCAAGTTGCTTTTGTGGTATTGAGGAACAATCCTCAAGACATTTACTGATCGATTGCCCAGCATTTCAAGATTATAGAATGAAGAATGAACTAGTTGTTTATGAACTTAACGATTTGATTTCCAATAAAAAATCATATTTAAAGTTCAATTCATTTTGTAAATACATTCTAAACTTTCTACAAAATCTGGATCTCTAATGTTTTCATGTGTTGAATAATGTAAATAACTTATGTAAATAAACTTTTCTCCTTGTTTGGCGCAAGTATCCCTTGCGGGATATAGCGCTTTGGAAATAAAATAATTGGTAATTTCATATATAAATATGACACTATAATTGCCTTATGTTTGATTAAAGCTTAACTGGATTGTTTTTATTGTTTGGGGAAGAGCATTACTCGATGCAAATATTTATATATAATTCTACATTTTAAGGCGAAAGTATTGACTGTTGACCACTGACTCGTTCTGATGTAATCATTGGATGTGATTAATTTACTCAGTCTACACGTTGTTCTAACTGTTGTAAATGGCAATTTTGTGTACATATTTCATACGGTGTACATATTTCAAGCTACTATTTCTAATTACTATATGCAAAATTTGACATTGAATGTGTAATTTGCGTGCTTCCCAATGTTTAATTATGTCAATTTCACGATGATTTGATTTGTATATAATTTCAGATTTACACGCAATTATACTAATTGTGGATATGGCGTGTCTTTGCAACTGTTAAATAAATAAATATGTAATTCTACTGTCCTAAAAGTTTATGTCCATAGTTTACTTGAATACCAATTCTAAGATTCCATCCTTCAGTGTAGCATATATAAGCAGAATCGACCAATACAGTATTAGAGATCTAAGAAACGGTTTGGTGGGTTGAATTGACGAAACCGCTGGAAGTGTTTATTACTGATGAGCCAAGCCCTCCCAATATATTTTAATCACAGTAAGGACAGTAAATATTCTTTAATATTTCTCTAATTCAATGAACCCAAAATTTAATCCTCTAACAACTTCCATTTCTTAATTTATTATAAGTTCTTGTAAATTTAATTTTCGGAAAGGACTTTTATATGAATAAAATTTATATATGTGAAATGTATTTCTTCTTATTTATGTGATGAAATTGAAAAATTATCATATAAATAAAATAAATTTAATATATTTGATTAATAAAAAGATAGAATTTTATAATTTAATTTACCTTTTTTGAATATTTAACTTATTTTCATTTGGAGAAAATAATGTTGGAATTAAATTCGATCCATATCATTGCATATATGTATGTTATGAATAATTTGTTTGTTGTTAGATAAAAGATTAATAAGACAAAGGATCGATAATATAAAGGGTTGAAGGTGCAGTCGTGATAAGAAAAAGATAATTATTTACCATCAAGTAACTTTTATTTTCAATTACTTGAGGAAATATTACACATTAGTTATTTTCACATTATATAGAATTTATAAGTTAATGCTATATTAGTGATTCAAAAAGATAGATATGTTAACTACGCATATTTACAACAAAACTGAAAGTTATTCTGAAAACGATGATAACAAAAGTGGAATTATCAAAATGAATAAAAATAAAAAATAGATTTTTAAAATATAGAAATATTTGAGTTTTTAGATTATATAATATATATATACCTTTTTATTATTTAATATGGGGGTCGGTGGGAGGATGTTCTAACCGTTGGTTTTCGATCACTATGACCCGTGTTCGATTCCCGCATTGGGCACTTTTTTCTTTTTTAAAAAATATGCTTCAAAGGCTCCCGATTCTTGCAAAATTCCAGCCCCACCAGCGAGTGCAAATACCCAAACTGGGGCTCTGGCACATTTGTAAGTGCAAAGTCTAACTGTTTTTCACATGTGTAGACATGTGGTGTACTTACAGTAAAAGTAGTCGCCTACCTCTACCCATCATGATTATCATGGCCTGTACCACGTGTACTAGGGATAAGCAAAAAAAAAACGAGCTCATCAGTGGTGATCTTCCCAACGGTTTCGCCAGTTTAATCTACCATATACAGCTATACACTATTATAA